TACAGGGAGAATGCTCCCCTATGAGCCAAGGACCAGAGGGCAAGACCCAAATGACAGAGTTTATTTTAATGGGACTTTCAGACATCCCAGCTGTCTGCTTCTTCATCATTTTGCTGATCTATCTTGTCACACTACTGGGCAACGGCACCATCCTCCTTGCCATAGGAACTAATTCTCAGCTGCACAATCCCATGTTCACCCAACATTGGACAGGTATGTCTGTATAATGAGGTTGTAGAATATCATGTTTACCGTATCATACTGCTTGATCCTACTGGTTGGCAACTGGAAGTAGATAACCTCTTTAGGAGTTGCTGGATAACCTAGTTTCTTTTTTAATCATGGTGTCATGGATTATAGCAAAATTCTCTATGTGTTCTCAATGCTTTAAGATGGAAGATCTATCTTCAACCTCTTTCAGGAGAGCTCTGAGATGGGCAGGAAAATGGAGAGTGTCACCGCAGTGACAGAATTCATCCTAATTGGACTTTCTGACCTGCCAGCCTTCCGCTTCTCCTTGTTTGTGGCCTTTTGCTTATCTATCTAGTCACATTACTGGGTAACGGCACCATCCTTCTTGCCACAGGAACTAATTCTCAGTTGCACAACCCCATGTATTTCTTCCTCAGTAATCTTTCCTTGCTGGACATCTTCTGCCCCACAGCTACAGTGCCCAAGATGCTAGAGAACCTCTTGACAGAAAACAGTTCCATCTCCTTTGCTGGCTGTGTGTTACAACTCTACTTCTTGGTGGCCTTGGCAGGGACTGAGGTCTTCTTGTTGGCCGTCATGGCCTATGACCGCTACGTGGCCATATGCAACCCTTTGTGATACATGGTCATCATGAACAAGAAGCTTTGCCTTCAGATGACTGTCGGAACTGTCCTCCATTCTGAAGATCCGTTCTGTGGAAGGGAAGCGCAAGGCATTCTCCACTTGTGCCTCCCATCTAATAGTGGTCTGTCTTTTCTATGGGACTACAACCTTCACTTATGTCAGGCCTTCCTCAAGCCACCATCCAGACCAGGACAGGTTGGTGAGCATGCTTTATGGGGTGATAACCCCTATGCTGAACCCCTTAATCTATTCCCTTAGAAACAAGGAAGTGAAAGGAGCCTTGAAAAATCTGATAAATCCTAAATAGCTGTAGTGCTGAGGTGATGGAAAGGATGAATCCAGCAAAATTTGCTTTATGTTCAGTGATGTGTAACTTAGTCATACTTGAAATCACTATTACGTGGACACTAATGTAACCCTAATCCTGATTCAAGAAAAAGAAACATCAAATTAATATATTTGCCATTTTGTTCTTCTTCTTTAAGGTAGCCTCCCATAAATATTAAAAACATTTGAATGTTAAATGAAAAAATTAGAATAAAACAAGGCATCTTCCTCAAGGTGTGGTGCAGTGGCCTAGTGATGGAGCAATCGCCTCACAATCAGGAGGCTGTGAGTTTCATCCTAGGTAGAAGCAGATATTTCTCTCTCTGGGCACCCTGAGAATATATCTGTTGAAAAAAAACTCTGCATTGGCAACAGGAAGGGCATCCGGCCATTAAATACTTCTAGCTCCATTCCAGACTCCACCTTGCAAGGAATTATGGGGTCATTAAAAGATGATGAAGGGATATTCCTCAAAATCAGCAAATATTGAGAATGTTTGGTTGAGGAGTGTATTTACTGGCTAAAAGTTATTTGACACAGAAAAAGGCAGCATCTAGGCACCTGGATCTGGTTTTATAAATGTTTTGAGGCCAGATGTGGTTAGTACTCAGATAAGAGACCACTAGGAAATCATTGGGCTATAAGATAGATTGGGAAAGTGAAAAAAAAAGGTCCCCAAAAGTGACCAAACACTTCTGGATGTCGGCCTAGAAAACAATAGGGATATGTTCATCTAGTTACCAGAAGCTGAACTCAGAGGTGGGAGTGAAGAGAGAGAGAAAGGATCATGCTCAACTATTATTGTTGGAAGGCTGTGCAAAAATTATACAAAACATATTATAACTAGAGTTAGAAGTACAGTGGAACCTCTGGTTGCAACAATGATCTGTTCCAGGACCACGGTCACAACCCAATTTAGTTATGACCGGAAGCATGACCGTCTGTGCATGTGTGGACAAAAAAAATGGTGCTAAAGGAGAAATCACTCTGGCAGGGAAAATTGCCGTTCTCCGTCATGTCCCCATTAACCATAACATTTTCAGTTTGTTTAGAGTATATTGCCATTAGCACGTTGGTAAATTTCTCCTCAAAATCCATATACTTTAATTGTAGTAACATGAATTGCCAATTTACGTTATCAAATACTTCATAATACTCATAATACATAATACTCCATAATACTTTAATACTCCAACATGTTCAAGATAATTCTAATATTATTTTTAATTTGCTTTTTTTGGTAAAACTCCATTGATCTGGGTGTATAAAATCATTCAGGAATCTTTCTGCAATTGAAGCATATATCTTATAGTCTGCATTTAATAGCAATATTGGTCTGTAGTTTTAATCTGTGTACCATCTGATTCTTCTTTCAGTATTAAAGTTATATTTGCTTTCCTCCATGTATTTGGTATTTTAGCCTTTAAGAATACTTCATTGTAAACTTCCAACTTTGATATACTTGAAGTGTCTTGTAGGCATTTATAAAGTTCTGCTGGCAGTCCATCTGGTTCTGGTGTTTTATTATTTTGTCTCTTGATCGCCTCTGTTAATTCCATCATTGTTATCTTTTCATTTAATATACCCATCACTAAATAGTTTTCAGGTACCTTGGGTAGTTCTACTTTCTCCAAATATTGTTTTGTCTTCTGATTGTATAATTTTTCATAATAGTTCTGAATTTTTTTGTGTTTGCTTTCATTTTGGTAATGTAGGGTTCCCTTTTCATCTAACAAACTATGTATTAACTTCTCTTTTCCCTTTTTCAATTTATATGCTAACCATCTCCCTGGATTATTAGCTTGTTCAAAGTAATTTTCTCTCTTTTTGAAGCATTCCTGTTAATATATGTTAAAATCAGGGCTGTGCACACTTTGAAAATAATGCAAATATACTTTGGAGTTTTTGTGAGTACAGCATTTCCCAATGTATTCTTCAAAGGTCTCTTGCTTGTTTGCGGTTGTGTAATTCAAAGTTGAAAATAAAATAAAATCTAAATTTAAATTAAAGTCTCTGGGAACAGTTCTTGTATCCAGAAGACCGAGAGCAGTTGCTATATCCAGAATTGATTCCAAAGTAATGCTGAGGCATCTATCCCAAATTAAGATTCGAGGAGCTGAATGTAAAAATAAAAAAGGCAAATACAGGAATAAATCAAGTTTATTATCAGCTGAGCAGGAATGAACAAAGCATCACTTAGTTGCTGGATCTGTGATAGTCCATCCTAAAAAAGGAGCTAAAGTCGGGATACTTAGTGGTCTCATTCTTCTCCCACAGTAGCAACTCAGGAAAAAAAAATTGAGAGAAAGGATTAGCTCAAAGACCCCTGAGAGCTTCTGTGGTTGAGGGTGGATTCCCTGTTCCTGATTCAACAGTTTCACCACTGAATCACCTCCCCCCACCAGGCGGAGAGATTTGGACTGGCCCAGTCACCAAAGATGTTCCATTGTTGGGGGATGAGGGAGAACTAGAGCATGGATCTCTCAACTTCTAGGGCAGCACCCTTACCATCAAACCATCCCCTTGGACTGAGAGAAATGGAGTGCCCCAGTCACAGGAAGCTTCCATTGTTGAGGGAGGAACTAGGACATGGATCTTCCTAGTTCTAGTCCAGCACTTTTATCATTGAACCATCTTGCCCCTTGGATTGAGAGAAATGGACTGGCCCAATCACAGGAAGCTTCCATTGTTGAGGGAGGGGAACCCTGAAACTTGGATCTGTCAACTTAATGTAGCACTTTTACCACTGAAGCATCTTGCCCCTCAGTCTGAGAGAAATGGACCAGCCTAGTCACAGAAGTTTTCATTGTTGAGGGGGGAATAGAACATGGACATCCCCACTTCTGCTGCAGGACCTTTTACTACTGAAGTATCTTACTTCTTAGTGTGAGAGAAATGAATTGGCCCAATCACAGGAAGTTTCCACTGTTGAAAGGGGACTAGAATTTGGGCCTCTAGTGCAGCCCCTTTTCTGCTGAATCATCTTGCTCTTTGCCCTGAGAAAAATGGACTTGCCTAGTCCCAAGAAGCTTCCATTGTTGGGGGGGAGACTCTAGAACTTGGATTTTTTTTTAAAAAAAAAACCCCTTCCCCACTGAACCATCTTGCACCTGAGCGTCTGAGAGAAGTGGACTGGCCCAATTATAGGAAGTTTTCATTGAAGAGAGGGAACTAGAACTTGGATGTCTTAGCTTCTGGTGCAGCACCTTCACATCTGAACCATCTTGCCCCTTTGTCTGAGAGAAATGGACTGGCCCAGTCATAAGCTTCCATTGTT